TGCTGGCTAATGTCAATTTGCTTGATCAGATTTACACTAAAAGCATTACATTTCTACAAGATATTGAGTTAAATTCAGTTCCACTATTGATAATTCTTATCCGAGTCATCTTTGCTACAACTAGTTGGGAGCTACGGTTGTCCAAATTAAACCAAGGAGACATTTTAATATTCATATGTTTGGAAAAAATCCAAAATTTGTTGATTTCCATGTTATCAAGTATGTTCTGATTTTTTCATAAAAATGGAGTAATGCTTTAAAATAATCTGGTAATGTAGTTGAACATAACCAAAATATTGAAGTGATTTTTTTTTTGATAGTAGATAGTTTTTTAAAAGTTAGTAGTTTCTATGTCGGTGTTGTTTGAAAAATATTACCGGTACGGTAATTTTCCAAAATGGTTAGTAAAAACAATGTTTTCAAGTCATTTCGAGATTTTAAAATTCAAGTAGTCGAGATATTTATGTTATTTTTGTTGAGTAATGTTTTAGGCAATCGATCACCTGAGTACGGGATCAATTACCGGATCCCGAAACGACATGAAAACTTCGTTTCCTTTAATCACGATACGATATCCTTAAAACTTAATGGCAGCAACAGAGAACTTTGTGGTCTCATGGATAACAATTCCTAGACCACCTCTTTAGGCAATAGCCAAATCTCTTATAAAAGCCATAATATTATTTGGGGCAAAATTATATTGAACTTTAGTGTTTATCGAATATGGATCTCTTAATACTTTGTTGACTCTGGAAATATTTAGTTAATTAACTGAAATTACTGAAAATGTTTATTGTAAAGATGAAGCTAAGAGAGATACGAACTCTAATAGGAGGCCTTTAAAAGGCTTCTAGCTTGTGAAGCTTTTTCTTCTTCTTCTAAGAATGAAAGCTAACTATCTATCTATATATTAATAGGCAAGCATGTTTCTTTAAAACCTTTTTTCTCAGCTCGTGTGTATCGTAGGGAAAATCTACGCATACCGTTAGAAAACTATTTTCCTGTAGGTGTGCAGAATCCCTTTATAAATTAAAATAGGATCAAAAATAAGCACAAAAAATGAATTTGAAATTTTAAAAAATTAACATGGGTTTTATGGGTTGCTATGGTGATGACAAAATAACAACACAATATAAACAGAAAATCAAAACAAATGGAAGACATTCCAATCACATGTTTTATTTACAGTGTGGGATGAAAATAGAGAAGTTTGTACAATACATACTTTTGGTCGATTTTTCGACCACGGGGCGTGCTCTCGTATTATTAATTAAGTGAACATAAGCGAATAAATTAAAAATTTACGTCTATAGTTTAATAAGATATAACATATTATAACGAACCAAGTATTTTTGATCGTGGACTTAGTATTTATCATGGCTTTCAGAAATTATCAAGATTTCAATTAGCAAATAATAAAAAATAAAAAAATAATATTTTTTTCAATTATCTTAACTCGCAACCTTTAAACTATGAAAAAAATTGAATCTTGACTAATTTCTACTACTATAGAAGGTAAGGAATAATGTAATTTATTTTTAAACGGATACGTCACTCTAACAAGAAAATACACAGTGTCTTTTTGACAAATGACTGGTCAGTACATGAGCAGTGAAAAAACTGGAAACAACAAGATTTCAAGAACAACACACAAGATAACCTCAAGATAATGATTCACTTTAAATAACAGAACAAGGTAATACAATAGACTTTCAAAAACAAAACTATTATAACAACATAGAGCAATAATGATAGCAAGACAGTAAATACTCATGCATAATCAGTAAATACAGGCAAAGCAATGTTGATGAAATACAGATAAATACTTTCAGGAAAATAAATACCAACGCCGCAGCAAACCTGCCAACTAAGCGAATTTCCATTTGTCTGAATTGATTTTCAGTTAAATATATTTTAATAACATTAGGTTTAACGAGTACCTAGGTTTGCTGCTACAAGGAAACTAATAAAGTGTGTTTTTGAGTAAAATATTGATAGCTTAGTACAAAATAAATAAATTTGCCAAGTTTGATCAAAATATATCCATAAACAAGCAAACTACAACATTTGACAATATTCTCCATAAGAATAAAGTGGGAATTTTAAATTTAAAATTTTTTAAATTTTCTCCGTTACTAATTATCGAACAAAAATACTTTTATATACTAAATTATTTGTTTTTTTAAGCTCTTTAAAAAGGTCTAAAGAGAAATCGGAAAATTTTGAGTTTTGAGGGTCAAAAGTGAGAAAAACCTATTTTTACCCCATAAAACCCCCGGTAAAGCCCCGTTCCCATGGTCCGATCGTGCTGGTTCGCGAACTCATTCAAGTTTATCCCGCTTTACACCTTTAAACCAAATTTCATCAAAATCGGACAAAAATTACTCAAGTTATCGCGTTCACGGACGTATATATAAGTCTATATATATATACATATATAAAAATTTGAACGAATGGTGTTTTTGGCCTCTGGGGACATCAAAATTAAAAAGTAAATCGGTCCCGGGTCTAGGTCTTACCGTGCCACCTATGGTAATAGCTACTTCCCTATCGGGAAATTCGCTAAAATATTATAGACTTCGTAACAAAAACAAAATAACAACAGGATAAACTCTAGTAAAAAAAATAAATCATTTTAAATAAGTTATTTTTTTAGTACATTATAAAGTGGATCTCGTGCCATTCAATTATTTCTGTATCTAATATTAATTTAAATTTAATACAATTGGTTTCTTATGACTTGTGTTTGTTTGGTTAGAGTTAAATACAGGAGTATAAAGGAAGGACATTAAAGCTCCTGCTATTATCAGGCTGTTTGTCTGTTTACTGGTGAGTGTTGTATTCTGCGGTGTAGGAACTGCAGGAGTTACAGAGCTTTAAAATGTACCATTCATTAAATTAAGTTTAAAAAAAAATATAATTCAGTAAGGTGATCCATTTGTAACCAAAACATGAAAATTTGCCGAAAATGGGCCCAGTTGAAGCAGAAAATGAAGGTTTTACAGACAAAACATACATAGTTTGTTTTCAGTATTATTATATTTTTTACAAAAATTGTTTTATTTTTTTACATTTATTTTTGAATTTTTTCGTTAATATATATAACATCTTTTTGATCTCTAAAAAAAAAACTCTTTCGTGAAATGCAATGTTAAAACCATAAATGCAAAATCACACAGCATTTCCCTTGTTATGATTAAAACGAAAGGTAGCCTAATACATTTTACATGAAATTACCTAAACCAATGAAATTATTAATTTATGGTAATTTGAATAGATTTTCATAATTTTACAAACAAAAACGAGGCGTGTAGCAATAAATTATACAAAATTGATCTCAAACTTCAGTTCAAAACTCAAATTGTAATTTTCCTTCATGTAACATTCATGAGACAAATTGATGGTAATTCAGGAATTGCTTCTGAATGAAATATCTTTACATCTGAGTGAATAACGTCGAATATTTCATTTGACTATAATTTGATAATCCGACTTTTGAATAGTAATATGCTTGGTAAATTGATGGATTTGTTTTATTCGTAATATTTGTGCTCTGATAGATTGTGTACCAAACAAGAGAAAACTGCGAGAAAAACAAACAAAACAACAAGAGAAAAAGCTGATGTTGAATCATAGAAAATCCACACTGCGAACACACCTAACGACGACGTAGTTTACGTACACTATAGAAAATCCACACTACGAACACACCTAACGACGGCGTAGTGTACGAACACTTTAAAAAATCCACACTATGAACACACCTAACGACGACGTAGTGTACGAACACTACGAGTATATCAATTTCGTAACATAGTTTTTAAACGGGTTTTAATTTGTAAAATGGAATGTGTGCATACCTTTATCCGTAGCATAAACAAATAAATTTGTCTATATCTGTAGTCACAATAGTTTTATTGTTGCGACAGAGAACAGCTGATTAATATTTAACCTTTAACTTAAGCTATTTTCAAACGCATGTAGTATTAACGACTGTTTGGGCTGCAGTATGAGGAAATATAAAACTAACTAATTTATTAGATAACTAGCTGTAACCCGCGGGCTTTGCCCCGTTTTCGCTACGCTCACTCAGCAAGTGAGCTCGTTCGCATGGCTCAATCACGTCCTGGTTGGAGCTCGTTCGCTGCGCTCACTTGCCTTCAGGTTAGCTCGTTCGCTACGCTAACTCGCCTCCAGGGTGAAGTTCGTTCGCTACGCTCACTCACCTTTTGGTTGCAAATTAGACATATCATAGAATCAACTTTTTAGTTGAAACAGCTGACTAAACTATTTAATTCCCTTTTAATATGAATACTCATAAGGTTAACATGGGGAACTATAGAGCCACTGGGGTGGAGCCCGAAAGGATTTTTGAGATAAGAATATGCCTATATGTTAATCGGGAATGTGAGCTATCATCATGCCAAATTTCAGCAAAATCCGTCCAGTGGTTAATGCGTTCACTTGTCACAAACATACATCCATACATCCAAACTTTCTCATTTATAATATTAGTAGGATTGCAATATTAGAGTAAACAAAGTACAGCTCGTAAAAATGGATTACATCAAATCTACTAACCTAGTGAATATATATATATTTTTTTTAATTAAATAATTGCTTTTAATTAATTGATTGTACTAATTAATTAATTGTTTGATCCACTTTTTTGTATTCATATTGTAATTTTTCTGTTGTAAGTTTGTATGGTAAATTAGAAATTATAATTACTAAAAAGTAATAGCAGGTTCAATGTTTTGAATTTCCTAGTTTGTTTGAATATTGTTATGTTTATTAGATTCTATGTCAACCAAAAATGTGTTACTTTTTCATTATCATTGATGAGTTTTAAATCCACTGAAAGAAAATATTCGTTATTTTTTACATTGGTACGAATAAGCGACAGTGAAACTTCGTAAAATATGCTAGGTTCACCTCCAAACAGCTGTTGAACAACTGTTAATAATTATCTCGCAACCAACCTATCAGTCTAGCTCCAAACATGGTCCAATGTAACATACCAATATGTGTTTCTGTAATCTTTCTTTTTGTCGTAAGTAAATTAGTAATAGCAATAAGTTGTGGCTAAAAGTCTCTATCTAACGTTGTTAAATAATGTATCTTTTACTTTCTATGACAGTAGAAACAGTTTCGATAAAGTAACTAAAGCACATAATATGAAAGTTATTTAAAGTAAAAGAAACATCATAATATCATTGATCTTTTCAGTGCATAATGTACAATTCAAAATAAAAATAAATTACTCCTAATGCTAAAAACATTTTTCTTTCGGTTCCGATGGCGTTCCAGAAGAAGTCAACCAATTGTTAACCAATTGTGAAATTCTAAATAAAAAAAAGTTTTGTCAAGCAGATTAGAACAATTTTGAGACAAAGATCGGGCATTCCTTTCAGCTTACCTTAAGGTTTAAAATAAAATCCCATACGTTTTGAAAGTTCTATGTTTTACTAAATAATAAAACCAAGTCACTTTAACATATTTAGTGAAAACGGAGGCTTTGATATTTAGCACAAGTTAATTTTCAAAAGGGTGTTTTAATTTGGTTACTTATTTGTAGGTTTTAACAACAGTGTCTCTCGTCGAAGGCACGTCTCCAGGTAGGTTTCAGTTTTATATTTTATTACTATGGAGCCAAGCTTTGCTTGAAATGATCATGAGTATGCTTGTTTCCTTACACATAAAAAAGGTTATATATGATTAAAATCTATTGGCATTATGTTGTATTTATTACAGGCACATTCTTGAGCTGTCTCAATGAATGTTTTTACACGTTGTCTTTTGCATGGTTTTCCTTCCCTTAAAATAATTAGATTTTGAAAAATTACTGAGGAAAATAAATTACTCATTCTCATGAAGCAGTGCTTTTTGAAAACTTTGTTCTTGTACAGTTTCGAGTTAGTTTTTCATCAAATTTAGTCGTTATAGAATATCTTTTGTATAGAATATTTCATATCTGAAAACACAATTCTTGTATGTGGCCTATGTACAGATGAATAAAGATATTTTGATTAGATTTGATTAGACCAGCTCACTTGCTCCATTTGAGACGATTTCTAACATTATAAGAACGAGTTCAATTATCTATACATGGTGTTCAGGCTAATGTATGTTGCTTTTAGGTATGTATTTCAAATTTTAAAATGTCCTAACATTTTTCAATATGGCCACCAACTTTAATTTTTCTTATGGAAGACCCTGTAGCCTATTTTATGTTTTTTTTTATAATTACTTGCAATGTACATTCTGCATCATGTAGCTCCTAAAAGAGGAAGTTTATGGCGAAAATGCCAAGAGTAAATAGGAATTAAAATTGCATCTGCATTCTTAAAAGGCATACAATACACAGTTTATCTATTTTCAAATTTACTATTTACTGCCATTTTTGAAACAATTAAATTAATATTTGTTTTGTATTTCATGGTATTTAAAGAATTTAGATGCAACTTTGAGACTTATTTACTCTTTGCATTTTCGCCCAAAACTTACTCGTTTAGGAGCTCCATGATGTAGAATGTACATCGAATCCATTTTTAGTAGATTATTTTATTTATATGTTCATAGCTTAGTATAAAACAATAAAAGCCAAATCTTACCAAAAAGAAATCTACCAACAAAAAAAATCCACAACTTATTTATCCCCGATAAGAAAAACATGGTAATCATTGATTGACATTTTTTTTTCTTCTCTAAAACTATTATAAATACAATAATGCTTTAGTGTACTGAATGATAATTTTTTACCTTTTTTATCTATATTTTATCATGTTATTCAAGACGGATCATTATATTTTCATGAGATAATTGCCATGTTTTCAAACATTGGAAAATATTCGACAAAATTATACTTGTGTATCTGTTCACATTGATGGTATTAGCTGAGTCGATATTTTGGCAAATTAATAGTGGTTTAGGGAAACTAGATTGTATTTGTATTAATTGCTATGTTGAAATGTGTTAATGATTTGAAAAGTCATCAAGCTGGAAAATTGGATTTACTGCAGACTTTTGAGAGAAGTTAATCCGATTTAATTATTCAGCTTAGTGAAAAAATAATATGAATTTACCAATCAGAACTTGAACTCACAAAGAGAGCATTTGATTGTTATTAGACTACCAAAAAGGGCTGAGCACGTTTACTAACAATAATCAGCAACAAAAACCATTTAATTAATCTCCAACCAAATATTCTCAAAGTCCACCGAACAGCAGTAAAAAAAAAAAAACAGTCTACGTACTGTAACTTATCCAGATAGTAAAAATATTCTCTTCTTCGATACTACAAAAAAGGTTCTAATTTTAATGCGCTTGGATTGTGACATTCAATTCGGCTCATATTTCCATTCACCAACACATTGTCTCAATCAAGCTGAAACAAGAATTTCAAGAGCATAGATTATAGATTGGCTGGTTAGCCAAATGGTAAAAGTGCTTGCCTAGCAATCAAAATGTCACTCGTTCAATCCTGAGAAAAGTCAGTGGCTTTTTGATGTTTTGATAGCATTTTGGGAGCTGCTCCTGATCACTGGGCTTTAAAAAATGGTCCTGGTTAATGAAACAGCTGATCATGGCGAGTGACAAAGCTACACAGATCTCTCACACCATTCTACAACCATCCTTCAGTCATGTTTGGGTTAAAATCCGTAAACTCATCTAGGCGGCCCATGTCAAATTGTAAAAGGTTAAATTCGTGTTTTAGCAAAGGATGGTACATTTGAAGTAAAACACATGCCCCAAGTATGGAGTCAATCATCGATACGGTTTCTGAGAAAGAATTGCAGCTATATCACTCATAAGAATAGGTATACGATTCATACTCTCATTTTAAAATAGAAACGAGTGTATACTAGTATTCTAGTATTCTACTAGTATTCTAAAAGCCTTAATATGTAAAACAAAGTAGTTTTAGCTATACAGTATATAGTCAAATAGTGCATTACATAAAAATGTTTAAAACCCCCTAGCCTAAAATATACCTATATAAAACAGAACATGTATTTTTGTTTTATCATATTTTATGCTTCTAGTCTTGAGCGCAAATATCCCCCTGCCTCCTTTTCTAAACAAGAATGAAGCAAAACAGAAATTGAATTGCCCACAAAGAACAACACCTTTGAAAGTCAATGAAAACCTTGAACTTGAATGCTATATCCAAGGAACATCCTTTAAGGGATTGTTGTTCTGGTACAACACTCTGGTGTTAAATATGGAACTGGCCAAATGTGATTCGGATGTTAAGCAATATATAAAGGTGGAGAAGAGGAACGAGCTCAAGGTGCAGTTGAAAGACAAGTGCATTGTATATAAGCGATATGAAACCCGTTCCCCTGAAACTAAAATCTGCGGCTTGACTCTGGTATGTTCATTATTTAATATGTATAGTATTTGTATATGTAACTATACTAATTTGTAAAAAATAACGGTTGATTGAAATAAAATCAGGTTTGTTTTAATTTCTGGGTTGCCGAGTGGTTAGAGTGTAACCTAGGAATCAAACGATCCCCGAATCTATCTTGAGAAGAGTTAGCTTTGGTGGTTCAAAACTTAACCCTGCTGTCTTTGATAGTTAATGGCCCTTTGTAAAATTTCCCTGACTAATGAAACAGATGGTCTTAGTCAGATATAAAGTTACACGGGGTGTCTCAATTACATACAGTCTTCCTTTACTAATGTTTTATTTAAGATACGCACCTAGGTGGGGGTCCCCATTTCAATCAATAATTGGTAATTAAATGTGCATATTTTAGTATTAACTGAAAATGTATGAATAAATCAAATAAAAATATTGATTTATTTCTAATTGTAACCATCCAGCATGATAAAAAAATTATATTTAAATGGCTGAATTTATTTCAAAACTTGGCCAAAGGGTTAGAACTGGCACCTGGCTAAAGTTACCTTGTTATCAGTAATTATTTATGGCTGTCAAATATTACTATATTCACAGCCATAGGATGTTATTCCTTAATCAAATATAGACTGAATGAAGGCTAAATAAAAATTTATTTAGGTTTCCATACATGTAAAAATAACTAATGTACTTTTTTATTATTTAGATACGAGAAGTTATCTTCTATTGACAGTTCAGAACAAAGTTAATGATAAAATAATAACATGTTAATGATAAAACCACAGCCTCTTATTTAGAGATAAGAGGCTGTGATTTTTAATGTAGGTAGAGATTATATTTATGTCTCTTGTCTATTTATGTCTAACTATTGTTTTATCTATTGTTTAAACTTTGCAAAGTCTATTGTAATTATAGTGTAATTACTGAATGACCAATAAATCTATTCTAAATTCTAACGCAAAGATATTTGTACTTCAGTAGTTATTTCACTCTATCTATCACTGGGGAGTTTCAAACCTGTTAAACATGTTAAAGCGAAATATTCAACTTTTTTACTCGGACGTTGGTGAGATTACCATGGCTTTGTTTACTTT